AGGGGGTCAGGCTAGATGATCTGTTCAGGTCCCTCCTGACCCTAGCTACTATGAAACTATGAAACATGGGGATAGGGTTGCAGTATTATCAGTATAGTGATATTATCTTATCCTATGCCTCCTTTTCATTTGACACATTATCAACTGTCAGCTCTGAGACATCAGCTCTCCGACTCTCGAGATGACAGCTTTATTGAATGAGCAACAATTGGTTGAAGTGACTGACTCAGAGAAGACTGAGAATGTTAGTAAGGAAAGCCTTTTGAGCTGTATGTCATCACTTTGTGTGAGTGTATGGCCATGTACAGGCATTACATTCCTACCTGGAAAAACCCTGTTCTCCCTGGGGAAACAACAAGTGTACAAGCATTCATTCAATTTCTCCCAAGGGAAGCATCCCCCTTCTGGGAAAAAGATCTTCCACGTGTCAGCCCTGAAAATCTCCTTTGTGAGGGAGTTTCTCTGGCAAGACTGAATATTTGTATGTTAGTCATTGTTGATGCTGCTGGGTGACTTGGCTAATGGCTCCTGGGTTTACTTTTGTGCCAAACTTATTTGAAGTTTCTGGAACTGAATATCAGGGCTACTTGTATTTTCAGTGTTTCCTACTGCAGTATTTCTGAGGCAGCTTAATGTTCTGCATTAGAGGCACCTCTATGTAAACATTATGTAAAAATTAACCTGAGGGAAACCTTCATTCTGGAATACACGAAGAGCAGGGATCCTCTCCACATTACTAGAATATGGTACAGAATCCCTTCTCTCTTCTACAGATAAGTGGGTTTCTTAGGCTAAGGACAGTTTATGTGTAGCCATCTGCTTCAGTAATGATTGTGTAAGGCAAGGGTGTCAAATTCAAGAGTTGGTCAGCTGTATCTAGACCATGGGAATCCTTGCAGACAAGATCCAGACCTCATGGCTCCTCGTGGGCCAGACAACCCACTCCTGAATCCCGTTTGTGTTGTTTCTTCCCAGGGTTACCAGAGCTGCTGTGTCAGCAGTGCCAGCACCCAGGGGTTAATGTCACCTGCTGCAGATTTGTGTACTGAACCGCAACAGAAAACCAGAAAACTGGTGGTGGGTAGGGCAGGGACCACAGTGGATCTGGCAGCTGGGCTGAATCTGGTCTGTGGCTTCTGTGTTTGACATTCCTGGTGTAAGATAACATTGAGTTAAATGACTCTCAGAATCTACCTGCTACCCTTACCCCAAATTAAGATTTTGTAGCTTGTGTTCCTAGCAGACCTGGAGATGCTATCTTTTAAGTATATCTGATAAAATGAATTAGTGAGTCACAAGAATTACCGTTTCTTCCCACTTATCTCTACTCATTCTTCATTTTAATCTTACAGATCCTTGCAGAAGAACAATTCAGGGTGTCCCGTACGTTGACAAATAAATGGTGGCTTGGTGTAGATTTGTCTTTACTGAATGTCTGCTTCTGACAATGACAGCTTCATCATCCCAGGAAAACAAAATACTTAAACCAGCAGTTCCCAATATGTGGGTTGCAACCTCAATTAGGGAACATCAGCAGATGGGGTCATAAGGGTGGGGGTTTGTGGGTTGGGAGTGACCGGCCATGCTGAGGATATGGGGTCATGCTGAGGAAATGGGGCCATAAATGGGGTCATGCTGAGGAAAAGTTTGGAAAGCACTGACTTAAACCAAAGGGATCTACAACATTTAGTAGGGCAAGTGTCTTCAATCAGCAAGCAGAAAATGCTGATTTAAATAATCAATTTTTAATCTTTTTTTTTTTTTGCACCTTTTACTTATTTTCCTAGGTAAACCCAGTTCTTACAGGTTTGCAATTACTTCATGTGCAACTAAATACAACCGTACTCTAAAATTCTTGCTATTTTTTTGCTGACCTGGAAATGAACATTTGTACTTTTTAAAGCAATTATGCAGCTTAATAGGCATGTATTCAACCCATAGTTTTCACATTTTACATTAGAAAACTACGAACGGTGCATTTCGTATTGACTAGATGCTGAATGGTGCATTTGGACTGAAATGGCAGTTCAGCTAAGAATGAGCAGTGGTGACTCTTGAACACTATGTTTGGGGGTTAAACCCAATCTCTTACATGTACTGGAGACCTAGAGAGGGTGGGGGGAGAAAGCCTTTATCAAACCATGTTTTGCATTTGAAGTGAGCTGAGCTGGGAAACCAAGGGAACCCTACTTGCAGGAAAGTGACCACGGGCAGTTATACACATACCTATCTATTCCAATGCTCCAGAAATCCAGCGCATCGGAATAGACTCAATTAATCGAGTCTGTGGAACACGTGAACTGACACACCCAGCGCTGCTGCCTCATGTGTATCTATATAAACTACGGGCACATGTGCCCCCACAGCGACCAGTCGGGGGCGGGGGGGTCCCTGCAGTCGATCACAAAGCAGCCGATCACTACAGCTGCTTCCAGAACTGGATGTGGCTGCTTCTGGGAGTGTCACAGTGCTCCCGCTCCCCAGCTAGCACTTGTAGGGAGGCGCTGCCTGCCCCTCTGCCCATCACCTAAGCAGCAAGTGTGGCCGGTCAGAGGGTGCACACCCCCCCATGCACCCACTATGTGTCACCACTGGTATAAACAGTGGAATATGCCTCAGCACTGAGAAAATGGCAGCGGTGTGCTTTGAAACTAAAAAACCTTCATTGTTAGTCCAAAAGCACACCGCCACCATTTTCTCAGGGCTGATGCGCAGTTCACCATGTATACCAATGCACGTGATGATGCAGCACCAGGCCCTTTTAAAAGAGCCTGGCACTGTATTGCATACATGCACGCATGAGCCCATTACACACATGGGCCAACTGCACCCATTCAGGTTCCCTTGGGAGAGTTGCTGCTCTCCCAGGAGGAGCCACCAGCCTAGATTGTTTCTCCCAGGACACAAATGGCCGCTCCACAAGAATAACCTGAGCCCCACCAGGGTTCAAACACTCCCGCAGAGCAAGAGCCTGTGCGCTTCTAGTGGCAAGACACGCCTCTCCCCGCGCCCTCCCTCAGGAGCAAGAGACCAGCGCAGGTCACAACCTCAGCCCCACCCCCACCCTCCCCGCAACACCCAGCACTTCCGCTTCAGCGGCT